TTGCCGGGGTCGGCTGGCCGGTCCGAGTCAAATGAAACAGGGGGTACATCTCCCCAACGCAAAAATACATCTTGAAAATTATGCACTGAACCATGTCATAACATCACAGCAACAACATCTTTTAAGCTGGCATGGAAGAATGAATTAATTCTAAATGTTTGGAAAAGTACATTTTTCACTGTATTTAACCTATAGTGATGTCAAATTGTTTTGTACATTTAGCAAGAGTTTAAACGTGAAAAAATGAATATACAAAACAGCGTTGCAGCTGTGCTTTGAAATAGAAACAGGGCTACTGCCTGCTGCCAAGTGTACTTTGTTGTTACTGGGATTTAGGGATGGCATAAAGTACTTCCCTCTCTAAAGTGAAGCGAAAATTTTGGACGAGCTTGTTGATATCCTAGCTAACACAAGCTTTGCATTTTGCGAGGAAATAAAGTTCCGATATTGACGGTCTTTCTTTGTTTAAATGAATACTTTGAATTGGTCTTCGACAATTATTTTGTCATTTTGTATGTTAGCTGATTTGAAACAATAGTTTTTTACTTTAAAAAGGGGGGTTTTACTCTTTCTAAGCATTACCGTTAATTTGGAGTTGGTACAATATTGTTAAATGACAATATTGTTTTTTTATTGTTCACAAAAAATGTTGCTCTCTAAATTTCTGCACTCAAACCAAAATTGAATTTGATTTGATTTTTTTGGCGGGGAGATATAAATACAAGTGTATCTATGTGGCATCCTGACACATTTATGTGCAACCAAAACCTGAGTACAAAGCGCTGCAAAAGTTGCCCTATTTGATGCATTTATGAACAACCCTGCTTTGGTTCAAAGGCTTTTGGTCTATAAATAAGACAGTAGCCAACAAGCAAAGTAGGCTGACCCCGTGTCAAGTGTCCTTCACGGGATGTGACGGGTTTAGGGGTACATTTTATCACATGACACGCTTAGCACATTAAAGCTTTACCACATACCGGAGGATGGCGGACGAGACAACACCCGGAACCATGTTACTAGTGGCTGCTCTGCTGCCGGCCATTTTCCTGATGAGTTTTGTCGGGTTTGTGCTCTACGTGATCTACCAGCACAAACGGTTTGCGCACTTCCCTGGCCCACCACGAAGCGAGTAAGTTTCAGTAGGTTGAAATTTTGTATTTACCTCTTGCATTGCCTTTTGTGATTTCAAGCCAGGCTGCGCATCTCAGAAGTCAAAGCACGCCGGGCTTGCTAACGAAATAAAGCATCCCCTATCCGTATGAGCTATTTTACAAGTACATGTACATGTTTATCCTATCTATACCGGGTAACACTTTTACTGGTACCCAATCGGCATATCCCATCCATCGGGTAATATTAACCCGGTAGATAGGAAACCTACCGCATATTGAGTTTTAACTGCAGTTTTGGAATAAAAAGGTTAATTCGTTCACTACAGAAGGCGGTGATAATAAAGAAAATGCGTTGTGGATGACGATATGCACTCTCCATGCATAATAAACTTTTTACAGTGTAGGGTATTTGCTTTTGAAAAGGATGACGATGGACAACACCTTTACGGCCGTCGCCTCCGTAGGCCCTTATATTCAAACATAATGGACAAAGTACTTTTTTATTTCATGATTTGGAATCAGTATTAATTTGGGTATTTCGTTGTGTAAAAATCTGGGCTTTTGAACAAGTTTTTTTTTCAGAGTAAATGGGAACTTACTCAATGGAGGGGATATGGATTTCATAACCGAGCTAAAGTTGCAACATGTGACCTTGCTTTGTTTCCTAATTCTTTATAGCTTCTTCACCGGTCACGTGAGGCAGATTATTGCCGGCATTGACCGTGGATCTTCCCTGGCAGAATACCTAACCGACCAGTAAGTATTCGTACACTGGCGCGAGTCCACAGTTAAAGGAACCAGGAAATAGAAATATTTTTGTAAAGTTTACTAAAAACCCTTGAAATTGCATCTTTGGGTTTTACTTAACCTTATTTTAAATTTTTGTTCATTCATAAGCAGAACTATGATGTCATCCAAGGCACTGAATCTCAATGTTGCACTGATTTGTGCACCGAAAAGTTTTAGATTTTTTTAACCACTGCTAGGGCAAATTTTATTTTCTTTGGCAATTTATTGTTGTGTAAGTATATGGCAATAGTCCAGCAAAAATCCTTTTCACAGAAATGTTCCCAGAGAGCAAATTTGGGACTCACAATTTGAACATGAAAACATGAAACCTGAACCATGTCTTCTTGGATCCTCACTTGTCCAGAAATGTTTGGTTTTTTAATTTTTAATGTTTGAAACAGTGCACCGTTCACTTTACGTAACTCAAAACGATGTCAGTCTTCATACATGGAAGAAGTGTAAAGAGATACACAAAAAGTGATTCTAAGAAAAATTCATTTCCTGGTTCCTTTAATCTCAGACGTTCCTTTGATCTCAGAACCTGCGATAGGGCATGGATCTGCGTTTAACAGATCCGTGGATAGAGTGAGAGTCCACTGTTGGATCCACGATTGAAGGTGTTTATTCACTGGTGTAGTGGTGGTATGGGTGAATGTTTTCTACAGGTGTGTGCTTTAAGTGATATGTAAGAGGGGTTCACATAATGTAGAGTGGTCAAGTTCAAAGATGTTGTGTGGACTTGCACACGTCCGTATAATGCTGCTGGTATCTAGAAAAGTTTTAAGGGCATAAGGAGTTCAGGGTTTTTCGGCTTCAAGCGGGACATCGAGATGACGCTAGTTTTTCCTAGCAACGGAGGCTCCAATTCGCTGGCATAGTCAACGAACACTATGAAAAGCATGTGTTGAAGTTGCATCGCTACAAATAAAATCAACACTCCCCACCTACTTGGCCCTTTTCAACCGATGAGGGGGTGCTTCTGCTCAAGGCGGATAGCCACAACAGAAAGAGGAACCTTTACAAAATCATCACCCAACAATCCAGCTTTAGAATGAGTGCTTAATGTGATGAAAAATAATTTTTTTTCTCGTTTTTTATTCACTTTACGAAAACAAAGGAATGTCCAAATAAAGCACATTAAACAAATATTCGTGTGTGCAGTTGTGCATGCAAGGGTCTTAGTGATGGCAGTTTGACTTCAATGAGCCTTATAAATTGGTGCAAAATATATAAATGCAACAGATAAAGCGCGAGAAACAGCCGTCTGTATTCAATTACAGACAGAAAAAAATGGGAAGAGGACGTATACGTATATAGAGCCATCCGTTAGTTCCTTCAGTGACAACTTTGAATATAATTTTACCACGGAGAGTATTTGTTATAAGTTTAGTTTAATTCATGTAATTTCAATTTTACTATGAAATAGTTCTAGCTGTTTCGTTTTAAACGAGTTGGCTCTTATATCAACTAAGCAGACAGCCCTTTTAGGAATTATAGTGACCGAACGTTGTATTAGGTTATAGTATGTACTTTAGTAAGAACGACAACTGTGAAGTTCTCTTTGGGAAATGACGACCGACTATTTGAGATCAAATCGTTGGATGTTTCAGCGAAAGATTCATTTTTTGTATTTTTCTCTTTTTTTCGTACTTTTTGTTATTATAAAACCTTTTGCCTCACCGGGCACGTGTACGGGCAGCAAAGACTTCTACACGAGGTTCTGACGAGTTTTTTTTCTCTTAGAATGAGAGCTTATGGCCTGGTCTACCATCTTTTCATGTTCTACAAACCGGTGGTGGTGGTCCTCGAGCCAAACTTCTTAAAGGTGCGTTTAATCTATTCATGTTTTCGAGACATTTTACTTTCTTTCAGAATTAGACTGTACTTCCTTTAATGAAATAAACCAAAATCTACCATCTAAATTTATCTGGCATCATAGAAAGGCTTTCCTAAAATCATCGATCATGAAAGCTGTCAACATTTTGAATATTACGATAATAACTACAGCCCAAACGTATTAGCACACGTTAACGGTGCGAAGATGTTCTTTCCGTGGATATAGGAAGTTTTGCATTCCACGACACACACAAAGCCCCCGCAGGAGGCTAAGACGTTCTGGAATGTCTTCGGTCAGCGGTTCGTCCACCATGGCCTGCTGATGGAAACCGACGTGCCGAAATATCTCAAGCGGCGAGCACTCTTCACCCCTGCTTTCCATCGGCAGTAAGAAAAAGAAAACTTCTTCAGCACGAGCAAAACCAAGATTCTGAGTATCACGTGGGTCCCGGGCAAATTAACAAACACTTGTATAACCGCATACCTGCATTAATTCACATTGTTCCTTTTATTACAGCCGTCTCTCCAACTCCATTTCATAATCAGACTCCATTGTTTTTATTTTCAAGTTATCTGATGAACCTGATGGATTCGTTCAATGAGAGTGCAGACATTCTAATTAAGAAGTTGGCCATGAGGGCCGATGGCAAGACCAAGGTTTTCATGTTGGAAGAGCTCAACCGAGTAACACTTGATGTCATCGCCAAGGTAACAAACAAATTTGGTCGATGGCCATCTCTAATTTTTCAACTGCTATAGTTTGTCGATGAGCTGCTCAAGTTCGGAATTAGGGTATTTTAGGAGGAAAACGTAGGTGCTGTAAGAGGAAAATGTCGACACCCATCTGAACGCATGACTGTATTACTCACTTTTATGTCAAAAGGAATATATTTAAAGTCATTTTGCCAGAGGAGTATTGAGGAAAACGTACGTATGGATGCAGAATTATTTTGTTTGGCAGATTTTGATTCAATATCGTGTTTTGTGTATTCATATAGGTTGCCTTTGGGTTACATCTCAATATTACCTCCGACGACAACTTGCCCCTTACAAAAGCTGTGAAAACGTCCTTCATTGCCATTAACAGGTGTTTTCTTCAACCGTGGATAAAGGTAGGCTCGGCTGGTTGGCTCGTTTGATTCGAAAAAACATTAGGTGTATTTCAATTCAGTCTCCTAATTTCCTTGAGTTTAAATTTCGAGTTTTACTGCAAATTCACACCACTATGGATTTTATTTTGTTTGCTGTGAGGTTCTTGATTAAAAACAGTTCGCTCCACTTTCCTTCAGATTCGTCTCGTGAGGCAAGGCGGGCCGGTGTCGGCAGTATAGAATGTAGTTGCTTATGATCCCAGAGTTCAAGGGGCCAATGTGTCACAGACCCATATATATTTAAAAAATGTCTTTTTGATGAGCTGTGACGCTAAGAACATTTCAAAGAGTATGTTTCTTTCGTAAAACTGTACATGCCCCAGGCGGCTCCGGGCTCGTCAATTTTATTCCTTGCGATTAGGCGCGGAAACGAGTGACACCAGTGTATGTTTCGTGTTGGTCAACTGCAATGACCAAATTATACTTCGCGATTCGACTTTCAGTGAGGAAACCCATGCATGGGCGAAACATGGAAGCGAAAGAACATAACTTGGCCAACTTCACAAATTAATTAACATGTTATCCATTTTTGGTTGGGCTTCTGTTTTTAAGTTGGCAGTTTTGTCTTTAAAAAGAGGGGGATACATTCATGAGTTGGACCGCCATACTTTGAAATGGGCAGTGCTAGGGGCACCAGCGGCCGAAACACGATATACCGAGCGACCACTATACTGAATATATTTGTAGACCCTGTTATGTTCTATTGCAAATATAAAGGCTTTTAAAAAACTCTCTCCCGACTCATTTCTGACCAACAGTACAGTTTCCTCCCGTCCCATCGTCAGTTCAGGCAGGAAGTTCGGAGTGCCATCCGCTATCTTCGGGAGACAGGACGGAAGTGTGTCCAAGGGAGGCTGGATGCCAGGAATAGAGGGGAACAGCTCCCTAATGACATCCTGACCTACATCCTGGATGCATCCAAGAACCTCGAGGCGGACGCCGATTTCAAAATGGAAGAAATGCTGGACGAGTTTGTCACTTTCTTTATTGCTGGTCAGTTTCGGAATGGCGACAAAAACGTCAATTTTTTTGTGTTTGTATTTCATTTACTCAGAAAAAACTGAAAATATGAGGAAAAATTTGTAGAATTGTATGGTCAGATTAGGCTTCAGGTAATTTCGAACTGGAACGTGTGATTTTTAGTGCAAAGAGGACTAGTTTTGATGTGAAAAAAAATGCAAAAGTTTAAGTTGATATGTTTCATTAGAAGCTTGATAGTTTTAGGAAACTGTCAGTATCGATTAATTCAGATAAATGTTCACCCCGCTTTAGAAAAAAATATTAAGAGGTACATGCAATTGATATTTGAATGGCGTATGGATAACTCAACTCCAAACCAATAGCATCCATTTTATTATTTACATTGTCTACCGGTACATTTTCCCAAGGTTATGAATAAATCCACCTGAAACAAACGATCAAAGCTACTGTCAAGCCGTGCTTCTTCACCAGTGGGATGCCGTGGGCACTTAACGAGCCAGCATGCATAATATTGCAGCGGTCTCCATATCATAAAAACGAGAACCATTACGTCATACCCCATGACGTGTGAAACCTTCCAAGAATAACATTTCTCTCGAAACTTCCTAGTTTTTCCATCAGTGATTTGACAACTATTGCTGGCCGTCGAAAGACATCGTCACCGGCAAGTGAGTGTCAGTTTGTGAAAGCCACATTATCAACTTCTGCTGCAGCTGTTTCACGAACTAACATCCAGTGTTGCGCGCGCTCGTCGGACACTAACGCGAAATACTGATTATGGTTTCAGAAACCGACACCCAAAGTTGTTGCGGCAATAAAGTATGGGGAAAAATGGTTTGAAAGGTTTGACATGAATTTTATGTATTCATGGACTTGTTGTCTTGAATAAATTCAATTACACGTCGTTTTAACTGGCGCAGTTTAGAACAGTGTCAGTTCATGAAAACGAAAATGCCCGGAGTGGGCGCTGGAAGTGCCGCACTGTGCCAGTTCGTGAAAACGAAAGTACATGTAACTCGTTTCTCTTTTATGCACACATATGAAATCACCTCGCGCAGGCTGAACGTCAGTTTGTGGTGTAAGTGACGAAATTATACACAAGAGACACTGTCATAATATAGGTTTCCCGGTCAATTTCGGAAAATGTGTACATGAATTAGTAATACCAGCATTCGTTTTCGAGCGAAATAGAACGAACATTCAAATCCCCGTTTCTATTTTTATTTCATTCGATATTATATAGGCCAAGAGACAACAGCCAATCTGATGGCATTCATGTTACATGAGCTAGGACACCATCCAGAAATCATGCTCAGGTAGATATCGGACACATTTCACTCTACAGGCTTAACAGCTCTACAAATTCTTTTTCTATATTGAGGAGAGTAAGATTTTAAATTACGCAAGAAGCTCATTTCTTAAACGTGACTCCTCAGGCTGGAGATGTAGTACAAAGAGCCCTAGCACTCACCAAATAGTTTGATTTCTCACGGGCATCACTATAGAGGGCTTTGTAGGAGGGAATGTACCCCCATCAGTAAGTTTGTCGGTAAAATCACAGGTGCCTTAGGCAAGAATGGAAAAGTAAGGAGGAGGTTGTCTAAGTGTGAAGTCGCTAAATCATACTAGCAATTACGTACTAGAAATTTGGTCACAGTCTGTCGGCAATTTCAGATGGCACCCCCTTCCCTTTATTTAAACTGGTGTAGGTTAAGGCCGGTTCATACTCAGACCGAATGCGAAAGCGAAGCGGATTTGATGCCACCACGAAATAAATTAATGCGTTTATCTTGTGCGATTTCGCGGTGCCAATACCTTATATGACGCAATAAATTAGAGATCGAAATCGCTCTCGCGCCACCTATGAACCGGCCTTTACTTGAACTAGATTGTCCGCATCATATGGGACTGATTTTTGATAAAGCATACAGAATATTTGTCGTTTTTCTCCAGAGTGGTGACAGAAGTGAACGCCGTTCTCGGTGATAGGGACTATGTAGAATATGGGGATCTTGCGAAATTTGAATACATGTCCCAGGTAGGTACTGGCATACCATTGTCATCAAAACCAAAGCTCTTGAAAGACAAAATAAATATATTGACGATGGTCGATGATATGTTATTTCATGTATCATATTTATGTGACGATAGTCGGTGATATGCCAATATTACCGATCATCGTTACGTCAAAGAACCCAGTACACAGCATCGTTGAACTTGAACTTCTTTTGACCCTTGACTTGTTCAAGCTTCATCATACTTGAACAGGCTAAGTGTAAAAAGATGGTTGGTGCTGCAGCGATGGTTGGTGACGCTATAAATATCACCAACCATTGTCCTGAATCCTTTCCTTAAAGCATCCTTTCAACCTTAAATCCTTTTTGGCAATAAGCTTCATTATACTTAGATTTTATGTTTTATAATTGGACAATAATTGTAGGTAATCAAAGAGACACTTCGCCTTTGGCCGCCTGCGTTTGGAACCAACCGTTTGATGGCCTCTGACGTAACCGTGAAGGGAATGAAGATTCCCGCGGGAACTGTGGTTTGGGTAATTTTCTTCCATATAGTTGTGCTTAGCTTCGGCCTTTTTCTCACCAGGTTCTCTTACCTTGCCGAGTGCTGTGGTAATGGCACTTTAAGAGTTTTAATTGAATTTTTCCGTGTTCTATATCTATCACAAGTTTTTCTTGAGAAAAGATGAGGTCATGTTTATGAACAATCGAGATATTTCACATGAATGCCCTCGATTCCCCTGTTTTAAAGTTAACCTCTTTTCCTCATTTTAGCTAAACACCTACGCAATGGGACGGATTGAGTCGCACTTCAAGGATCCGCTGGTTTTTAACCCTGATCGATTCCATAAATCCGAAAGTGAGGACAGGTATGTGGATGATAAAAAGTAATTAAACTGTCAAAAAGCCAGTTAAACTTTCTTTAAGACTATTATAAGCCTGTTCTGTTCTCAAATGACGTACGGCTTTTCACGTACACATCATAAGCTTGTTTGCATTCCAGGGTCAAATCTTCTGAGGGTTAGGAGTTAATGGCCTAATGAAACAAAACAAATCTGCAGAACAGTGAAGGGGGAGCAGCTTCCAAAGTCTGCGATGTGCACTTTAGCATCGGATTGACTCTATAAGCCTGTATCATGGGGCAGCCATCTTCTTTTCTACCATTCAAAGCAATGTAACCAAACTAAGGCTGGGAGGAAAAACACTCTTTTCCCTTTATCACTGTGTGAAAATGTCTTACTGTTGCACATGAGTCTACAGGAAACGAGACAAACAAAGCACGAACATGATAAAAGTCTCTAGCCCCGTCCGATCCTCTCCATATACTTGGATCTACTCTTGCCCTCCCATGAGATCTTTTTAAGTGTTTGAAGACCAGAAGATCAGGGCGCGTTTGGAACGTCGTTGGTGGTGTTTCCGTTTGCTTCCATACATGTGAATGGTCGAAATGTGATTCAAGTCACAAGTTTATTTCTATTGCAGACCTGTGTACGCTTACTTCCCGTTTTCCATGGGTACTCGTTCGTGCCTTGGACAACAATTCGCACTGGTAAGTCTTTTCATTCGCACAAAGATTTGGATGAATGCGGAGGTAACAACCTAGGGCTTCAAGCACCTGTGTCACCTCAACATCTAGAGTCTCCTTCTGAGAAAAAAGGGATGGGCAAAATAATAGCGCAAGGATGAAGATGAAAATTTCAACAAGGTCCCAGGAGGGGGGAGGCCCATCCTGTAGCCTCGTTTGTACCCACTGCATATTCCTGTTGACTTGTTAAGACACACAGTCACATATCAGTCTGCGTCCTTTTTGCCCACCATGCAGATTGAAGCTCGACTTATTATGGCCCGCCTGCTACACAACTTCGAGTTTAAGCTGTGTCCTGGACAACCCCGCGGAGACATCGTGCAGCATGTGTCCCTCCAGCTTCGCGACCGATGCATGAACTACCTGACTCTTGCCAACCGTTAAAGGCATTTATGGGGCTTAGAAGTATGATTTGGACAAGAATTTAAGCGGCACTTTCATCCTATTAGCCATTACTTGCTGTACCAGGTATTTTCTGCTTGCAAAAATTTTATTCCAAAGAATACATGAGGGAGCTTTGTAATCAATGATTTTCCAAGGAACAGTGGAATGTTTTGTATTCTCATCTTATCATCTCTTTAATTAAGACTTGATTACAAATAAAGCTGACTAATTATTAAGAAACATAAGCTGACTGTGCAGCTTGGAAGCAATTTGATAATGAAGCGTATTTTTTCATCCTTGTGAAGTCGTTCCTGTGTTTGGAGCTAGCTTGAACATGTGTCCTTGTGTGAGTTATATGTTTTCATTTAGATGTTTTGACTGTAATCTATCTCATGATTGCATTTGTAAATCGCCCTTTCAGGGACAGTTAACACTTATCATCATGGAGAGTTAAACTAACCATTTCTTCCGAAGATCTAATGACGGTTTTGAGGAACAACTTTTGTTCATGGCACACCTTACCTTCAGGCTTCATTTCTGGTCGTGCAGTGGTGTTATGCAGCCACCAGCGGCGGAACGATTTTCAAAGAGGAGAGGGGGTAGTGGCTGCGCCAGACCTGCTTGGCTGTGGGTGCAAGTGTGGGGCAAAGCAGAATCGCGTGGGTGCAAATGATCCTTCATTTTTCCTGGATTTAAAAGATGTGGAGTCGTAAAGCGAAAAGGTTGATCGCCCTTTCGTAACGTGACAAGATCACGGTGGGTGCAAACGTGGGCGCAAGCGGCTTTTCACCCACATGACACCACGAAGTGCCGCTGGGGGGCAGTTGTTAGACTATCAAGTATCATCCATTAATAGGCTGATCCATTAAGCCCCACCTCATTATAAGATTTGCAAAAGTGGGGGTTCATGCCCCCAGCCCAAAAGGTGGGGGTACTGCCCCCAGCACTGATTGACCGACCATTAGGCCCCACACCATAGTCTCTTCGCTCATTACAGCGGTGATATACCTCCGAATTACGTGCACAATAGTTCGGCATGCGTGCATACACGCGTACAGAACGTTTTACCACCGAATCAACGTGTTTTTGTGTCGTTATTAATACCAAAATATGTCATTGTGTCTAATTTATTAATGTATCAACACGCATTTGTTTAAAATATTAACACAACGTGTTTAGCTTTGTATTTTTAAGTCCCTAAAAAGCAAGCAGGACAATTCTGCATACCATTTGTCTTACCCGGACGGGGAGTCAATCAATGCCGGTATATAAGAGCTTCATATAGTAACACAGTAAATGTTTTGAAACTGGATAATGTTATGCTTACCATGACACAGAGGGTTGAAGTTGGTGTTTCAGAACTTCAAATATTCACAGGGCAGACAATCCTGTATTGATATTGCACGACAGAGTGATATACACTGGCCAGTCCAAAGTTTGTTGACGTACTCGGAAAAGCCAGCATCTTTCAAATCAGTTTTTCTGTACTGCTGGCCCAATGGGCAGCCTGTCAGTCAGAGAGCATTTACTCAGACTCTCAGGTCAACACTTACTCATGTAGATTTAAACCCAACAATTTACACTGCCCACAGTTTCCGGTTAAGGGCAGCATGCCACGCAGTTTCCCTTGGATACTCAGATGCTCAAGGGCAAGTGGCAGCCTGACACTTTCACAAGTACATCCGCATATAGCATCAAAGTGTGCGAGATTGGGTGTCCCTCTTAGTCCCTGCTTTTCTGTGTTCGGCAGGTTTTTTTTCATGTTTTCTGTGGGTTTCCGGGTTTTTGTGGGGAGTCGCCTGGCCCAAGGCAAGCTTTTGCGTCAGGCGACTTGTGGTGTTAATTCCATACAAAAACACGCTGGATTACATTTAGGCATTAAGACGTTTACACCTAACTTCAATTTGATTTTTGTAGGCCTAATGACGGTGAAGCTGGAATGGTCGAAGCTTGTCAAGTTATTATAAGACTTACCCGCATTTATATTTTGAGTTATAGTTATTAAAAGGTTAATAGGTAGCTAAATTTTGTACATGATAAAAGGGAACTCGCAAATTAAGGATTAGTGCTTATGAGTTTAAACAACAACAGTATATAAAGTGAATTCTTCTTGTGATGAAATGCACTGTGTATTTTGAAACACGCTTCTGGAAAAGTGTAAACATGCACTATGTTTATTTGGTATTTAATCTTGTGACACACGAACGAATAATAAGAAAACAAGATAAAGAAACTATAATTAGAAAAAAGTTCAAAGTGGATATACTCATGTAAAGGACTCCTGAACCCAAAGCCGAATTTGCGTCTAAAAATAACAATGTGCTTTATTTATGCGTTTGGGTACTGTCTGTCCATAATTGCAGATTAAGCGCAATTTTCATCTGCTTTATGGAACGCAGTCCCCGAAGTGTTAAGCTATCGTCCTTAAATCAGTGTTTACATAGCAACGTTAAGTGGCAAACAAAACTAGTGACGATCCCTAATTATGCAAGCAACGCAAGACGGTATCGCACGGATATTGGCCGGCGAGTCTCACGCCATGCCTGTTGACGTGCGATGAGCGTGCACGTGGTTGGTGGAGACTTTTGTTTATTAACAATGGCGATGAATTCAGTGCAGTACTAGTGACAGCAGCACAATCGTCATTACATGCAGCCTTTCAGACAACAACGAAAGTATCTCTTCACCTCCCCAACGACCACCCTTTGTTCGTTTCTCTTCTGGGTTTCAGGATTTCCTCTGGGAGGGCGTTATTTCCCCACAAAAACACTGTATTACATTTAAGCATTAAACATTTACACCTAACTTTAATCTGATTGCTGTAATGACGGTGAAGCTGGAAGGGTTGAAGCTTGTCAAGTTATTATAAGACTTACCTGCATTTATGTTTTGAGTTATTTTTATTAAAAGGATAATACATTTTGTTTGTGATAAAGGGGACTCGTACATTAAGGATTAATGCTTGTGAGTTTAAACAACAACAGTAAAGTGAATTCTTCAAGTGATAAAATGCACTGTATATTGTGTAACACGCTTCTGGAAAAGTGTAAACATGGTACTATGTTTATTTGGTACTTAATTCTTGTGACACATGAACGAATAAGAAAACAAGATAAAGAAAATATAATTAGAAAATAAAATTCAAAGTAGATAAAAGACTGAAACCCAACCCGAATTTGCGTCTAAAATAACAGTGTGCTTTATTTATGTGTTCGGGTACTGTATGTCCATAAAGGATTTTATTTATTTCTGTTTTACTTATTTTCATTTTAATTATTTTGATTAACATAAATGATTTTCAGTAAAGAGAGATATAAATGGGGGGATACTGATTGGATAGGAGACGTATGCAACATCAACATTTCTGCAGCATTGATTTTGCCCTTCATAAAATTATTGAGGATTAATATAGAGCTGGACTTTCCACTTTCCACCCCATCCTTGTCTGATTTCAATCTCTGTACCAGTGTTTATTCCAGACAAGGGCATGCCACTGGTTTCCTTATGTAGGCATGTTATAAAAGTGAACCAGTACCAACTTATTCTGCGAGAGTGAGGTAATTCTTGCAGCGTCCCTTCGGCTTGATCAGGATCTCCTGCAGGACATCGTCTCGGAGCTGGCCGGGAGCCAGACTGAAGTTGAACTTCTGCAGCAGTCGGCTCATGATTAGTTTGGCCTCAATCTATGTGTAGAAAGCATAGTAACAGATTACTGCTCTACATTTCAGCTCAAATACCTTTGCCAAGGCTTCGGTTTATTATTCAGGATGCCTTTGAATGACAGCCACCAACATTAACCATGTATCATCGGATTTAAATGAACTCTTCGGTTTTGAAGAGATAAAATTTTAAGTTTCAACTCGATACCAAAACAACAATTTCTCTAGTATTTTTATTTGGGGAGAAATTAAATGTTACTTTTGGACTGCAGTTCTGTTTGAGGGGAGAGGCACTCTGTATTTGTAGTAATTTTATACTCGAGGGCCTTGGACGTGGCCCGAGGGTCTGGGCCTTGGCCCCAGCCGTACCCTTGAGGATCACAGCCTTTGCTCCAGCGCTGGCCTAAGTGCCTTGATGTTATGCTTACCAGTGCAAATTGTTGACCAATGCAGGACCTTATACCCATGGAAAAGGGGAAGTGGGTAAAAAGCTGTCTGATAAGCAAAACAGAGAAAAAATATAATCAAAATGATTTTGAACACAAAAAAATTACATGTACTTCCATAAAACAATCCGTTTTTGTATTCATCGTTTTTGTGGTTTATTTTAAAGTTACAAGTTATTCAAATTAAAGTTTGTGCCGAGGCAACTATCCTATACTATCTCTATTGGGTAAGATCTGCTGCTGGGACTGTCCGCAAAGTCCAGGTGAGCGCATTAGTACAGATTAGGGGCTCAATGACAATTCGGCGGCCACAGCTCAGAGCTCGTCTCCTTTTCTCCCTTATATGACCGTTTAGCCCTTCTGGGGTGAAATAATGGGCAGGGAGGAAGTGTGATGGGCCAGAAACCCCGAGAACTCAGAAGAGTCTGGAAGCCAGTAACTGCGATTCATCGTGAATATCAGGAGTCCGTGCGCCTGAATGCTTGGTCAAAACATGGAAGTTTTCATTTGATTCATCAGGACCCACTTTCTATTTACAAGGAAATGAAGGATTTAGGTATTGAAAATATGCATGCAGAGGGGGTTTGAAATTATTTGTTGCTTTAGAGAACCTGCACGACATTTCTGATCGCAAGAGCAACCGTATGTCATAGGCAGGCTGTACTTTAGAGGAAGTATTCCACTAGGAAGTAGGCCTAAGATGCTTAACCAAAAGAAAGAAATGGTATCATGTTCCCGTAAAAAAAGCAAGATGAGCCATCTCACGATTGGCTTTTAGAAGGATTTTTAGGTGACTGGGCTCAGCCCAATCTTTCTCCTCTTTTTTTTCTTCCGGACAATAATTCTAAAGGCAATTTTTTAACACGGTACGATGCATGAGCTTGGAATTGGTGCGCATACAAAGAGTGCATACAAGGTTGACGTCATGATGACGAATCGTTTGTCAAATACGTACTGTTGCTGTATAACAAACGCGTGTTGGAAATGCATGTATCCACAAGATCAGAGAATTGATCGACAAACATACACGGCAACATCATGCATCACGTAATGTCCCGTATTGCACTCATTTCCAGAATAGAAATTGGAGTTTCCCAAGAGTTTCCTTTGCTGCCACAGAAGCCTTTCAGTGTCTTGATTTCCCTTCACATTACTCCACCGTGAAACAAAACCTCTAAAATTCAACATTCTCCTTTATTACAATCGTACTTATCTCGATTACATTAATTGCGTAATAGGAAAGGATTTTCCACCCAATCATCTAGCGTTTGTTCATCGCGCAAACAATTCCCTCTAGTCTGATTTCGATTTTGTGGTGTCTTCAATAAACAGACCTGTCTTCTGACGTGTCGATAAATCGCTCAGGGTTGAAAACGAGAGGATCAGGGAAACATTTGTCATTCCTTCCCATGGTGTAAGTGTTGAGCTGAAAGAATAACAGTATTGAAAAATAAAGGCAATCACACAAGTGATGTAACTTTGCATTATGTTTCACTACGGTCGCTATGGTTCCCTACAGATGATCAAAGTTGGTATGAAGTGGCTGATCTGAAACGACATCAAGTTAGTTCCCCCTTGGACGTCAATAAATACTGCACATACTGCCAAGTGACACCTACCCACACGGGTGTGCCAGCAGGTATTTTGTAGCCGAAGAGCATTTCGTCATGAGCCAACTGACGACTTGTTCCAATCACGGGGGGCCAAAGTCGCAAAGTTTCCTTTATCACCTACACCAGACAAACAAGTAGAGGCTGTTATTTATAACAACAGTGTCACTGCGAGACACCAACTGGAAGCCAGAATTAAAGTTGTTTTTAAGAGTAATAGCATAAGATGAGTACTCGCAAGAACACACAAACATTAATATTCTTCACATGTACTGGGCAACGCTCTTCTTTTTCTGAAATAACCCACCCCAACAGCGTGTGCTAGGTTTACGTAACGTGAGACGAACGACAGTACTAATACAAATACTTACCAGCATCATATATTCTAGTTTCCCCAAGTCCTCAAATTTGACATAATCACTGTCCCCAAGAACTGCTTTAGCCTCCGTTTGCAACCTATTATCAAAATTATAACACACAGTCAACTGAGCAACTCACGATTGCAGCTGGATTCAGCCCAAAACTAAGTTCATAGCAACATGAAATATAACTTGCGCTAGCAGTAACTGTCTTTAACATGCCCTGTCGATTGAGGGCGCTTACGGCGTATAAGGAAAAACATATTTGTGTTCACGACCGAAATGTGTGGAATAACTGAAACAAAACATTTATTTCCATACGCTATTGGATTGGAGCTTTACACATATAACAATAATAATATCTGTAGGAAAAATAAGAGTACGAAACCATACAAAAACATTACACACAAAACAATCGCAAAATACACGGATCATAATTCAAAACGGGAAAAAGTAATTACACGTCTGGAAAATTACTTCGTCCTTACAATGCTTTTGCAAAGAATCGAACTTTGAAAAATTGAGTGCATCACAACCACACGACCTGTAAATGAAGTGAGCAGACAAAGTTTACCTAGTTCAGAATCCACTGACNCAATGACACCAACTGTTTGATTTGAATTGAACTTTAAGACAAGTACCACATTTGGACAGCGAACTTTAGAAGGCTTGGACTGATAGAGAGTATGAAAGTCTGCCGAAAGGTTTGATTAGTGTTCTTAAAATTAATAAAACATCATCTCTGTTACCTGTGCATAACATCGGGATGGTGCCCCAGTTCCACCAGCATAAAGGCCATCATGTTAGCAGTAGTTTCTTGGCCTGAAAAAATGTTATCTTGAATAAATAATGTATCCAAACAATTTGGGTTCGAAACGGATTTGCCTTCTCCCCTTATTGTTCCACGAAGCTCAAGGAGGTCATCGAGTAAAAACAATCACCATCCTTATTGTGATAATAGTGAAAGATTAATTTCTTCACGATTGGAATTATTTCCAATAGACAAGACTGAGCTTCGCGGGAAACCGCACATTGGGCTTTTTTTCTGGTACTAATGTAACAAAAAGAACCAGGCTAAAGGTGAGGGTGGACTGCCTTAATTCAACATCAAACATAAGCTTATATTGGTGATATTGTGACTGATGCGACTAACCGGCAATGAAGAAGGTGCAGAACTCGTCCAGCATGTTCTCCATTGTGAAGTCCTCGTCATCCTGCAAGTCATTGGACTGCTGAAGAATGTACGTCAGTATGTCATTGGGGATTTTCTCTCCTCGCTTCTTCGCGGCGATGCGGTCCAGGACGCACTTCCGTCCTGTCTCCCGAATGAGCCGAACACCCTCGCGACACTCCTCTCGGAACTTGGCATGCGCTGGTAGAGGGCTCCACTTTAAATACATAATTGCAAACATTTTGATACCGTAAGAGCCTACCCTTCTTGCCGATTTTCTGTCCTATCATCCCAATCATCCTTCTACCAATTTTTACGTTAATGTATACCACTGCTACGTCTAGATAAAGTGGGCAATTTTCTAAAAAAAATTCCAATGCTCAGAAGAATGGTCTCAGAAATCAGTGAAGGAAACTCGGTTATGAACATACAATATTGACAAAAAATTCCGCGAACAAGATAGTGCTAATATTAGAAGAGTATGGCCCACCTGTGCCTACCGACATAGCACCTTCTGCATACATAAAAACAGTGGAAACAAGGGGTTCATGTTGATTTCATAATACATTAACTATTTATTGGGGAACCTCCAGTCCAACAAATCCTGGGTGCGGCAGTGAGTTTACAGGTGCCACTTTTCAGTAAAGCGGCGGGGTATTGCTCGGCATGTTTCAGAGCAGAGTGGTCTCAACATCATCTCCTTTGATATAAAATTTGTTTTAATGTGAAATACACTTTTGTGTTATTTCGGTTAGGTTCAGTGGTCAGACCCAAAAGGCACATCTGTCTGTGTGCTTGCATTATCTCTAGATCGCTAATAAGTATATAGGAAGGTTAAATAGCTGCATCAAGCTAAGAGGGTAATAAATTTTAAAGGCCATATAAATACCACCTGTTGACACCATGTTTAAAACCGACAAGACCATTGGGCGATATGTGTATGGCGACGGAGTGTAGGTGTGATTCCTCAACGTGACGATGATCATCTTAACTATTTCTCGCATATCTTTTGAAATTTCTTTCAAAGCCCTTACTTTACCCTTCTTCCCCTTCCCCCATATAAAATAAAATATGACAATTTTTTCTTTAGTTTCACGCAAGCCTCAAACACGTTCCAGAGTTGCAAATGTATTTTACTGATAGGGCATTTAGCACTGTTCGTCTGCAGACCTATGATGGTATGGGAGTGGTGTGTTTGGTGAGATTTTTGTGACCTCATCTCAGACGATTTACATGTCCTGGGCTACCTCTGTTGACGGGGCAGATTTGGACTCCCAAATATCAATCGCATGAAAAGACAATCTACCTGCTTCTGAAAAGCCTGCATAAAATACCATACCTGTATCCATGGCTTGTAGAAGCATATCTCCACTCCAGTAAGTGATTTGCAGATTGCCTTGTTGAACCCTTTATCTTCCAAGAGATCCAAACCGAAGGCAACCTGCAAAATAAGTTGACTGTGCTCAGTGAAGACGGACCCATGATCAACTGTTCAGGGAAGAATGGGAATTAAAATTGTTGAATCGAACCGACATTCCCTCATTATAATATAATAACATCATTTCAAGGGCCTCTCAATATACCTCTTCAGTAATAAATTCATAATTATTCACGCATTCGCATTCTTGGCGGCAAGAAGTGTGAGCGGGCCATTGAAAAATGCACAAGGACGCGATTTCGATAATCATTTTCTCTCAGTTTTTTATTACTTTGTTCAGTTTTTTTCTTTAAAAATCCCATTAAATCGTTTTGCTATTAGTTTTTCATATAAGTGGAATTTGTGGTGTTCTGTTAAAAGATTTGAAAATCGCAATTTTTCCTGTGTGCACGAGATCGTCGTTTCTTGGTGTGGCCTGCTTTCATCATAAGTAGTATAAACTACATCGTTAGTGCTCTTGGAACCAACAAGTGCGTTTTCTAAAAACACGTACCATTGTTCAGTGTACATGTACGTGTATACTCTACACAGCTTACCATTGAACTTGGTCATAGCTTGGAGTACTACCGAAAGAAATGGTATCCAGTTTTTGTTTGGGGTTGTACAAGACATAGTGCAGATTCCAAAGAGAAAGTGATCTAGTTCTTCAGATTTCAAAAGTGCAGAAAGCAGCGAATCGAGTGAGTACAGTACCGGTACATTGAACCATGGAGGGAGATTGAACATCGGTACGTGTTTTTACAAATATACAGATTGGTTCCAAGAACACTAACAATGAAGATTATACTACTGATGGAAGGGGGACATACTAAGAAACAACGATCTTATGCACACTGGAAAAATTACGATTATAAAAACTTTTTACAGAGCACTAAAATTCCATTTAAATAAGAAACTAATAGCGAGAACAATTTAATGGGACTTTCTGAAGAAAAAACTGAACAAAGTCAGAAAACCTGAGAGAAAATGATCATCGAAGTCGCAACTCTGTACATTTTCAAAGGCCCGCTCACACTTGTTGCCGCCAAGGCCATTGAGCCTGAAAGTTGACCCTTGATGGTGCGCTTCCGGAACCCTTGGATAGGAAAGATAACGTGCAAAGATTTTAGAATTTGTAATATTTTTCGTTCAGTTATTTCTTACAAATTCAACTTGGTAAAGGGGTTTTTGAAATATTTGCTAGTAGATCAATTTATAGAAACTGAAAAATCACCTGACCTAAAAGAGAAATATCCTGCCAAAACTGATCCATCACTTCCGTAAATCTAAAATACATGAAGAACAGTGCAATGTGCCAGTCTCGTACACACTTAAGTATGAACGGTTTGAAATTGTATGGTGGTCCGTCGGTAAAAACGGAAATAAAAACAGATCAAAATATTTTAAACAGTCTCATAATTTATAAGTAGTAAACCTAAAGCAATATTCTATTTCAATTACGAAAGATTCCAATGTGATCTAACTTTGCTGACAACGATTGCATGATGTCAACTCAGTGGAATTTAGAACCAATCGACTGTAAGTAGGTAAATCTTTGCAACGTTGTGCAATCTCGTTTTCACGTAAGCACGGGCAGTGAAAACAAACGTGCATGAACATGGAGACCTAGGTACGATATCACTGGAAGTGAAAGGTCGTTACGAAAATTCGTTTTTTTACCTATCTCAATGTAACTTTTCCTAGATATTACTTGCGGAAGACTAGAGGTAAAATTCCAATATGAGTGTTTCATGGGGTGGTTTCAGTTAGGAATTATTTTTTCCAAAAATTATCGAAAGTGATAGGACGGCCCAACGTAAAATCCCCGTAGGCGGTTCGCACAAGGGTTCCGGAAGCTTGCTGCGTGACTGTTTTACTTTCAGGCTGTATTTGTGCATGTATGCATAATTATGAATATATTTGTGAAGAGGTCTACTGGATCCGCAAAGTGTGAGTGCGATGATTCTGTTTCCGTCGGCTTCATCAGGAAATAAAAAAAACGAAGGAATAATTCAAGCAATTTGGAGTGGATCAACTTGGATGATCACACATGGTGCATCTGTGATGAGTTAGTGCGTCAGGCTAATCCTGATTGGTGTGCGACTGGCACTTGATGCTATATCAACCGTTTAAGAACTGCCACTTAGCGGGCCCTCGGCCAGTTGGAATGACGAAACTGCCTTAAGTATTTATGAATTTAAACAACTTGGCACATTTCATTTCTCTGCAGCGACCGGACACTCTATTAGAAGTTTACACTGTTACCTTTGCAAGGACATCTAGAGTAAATTTGTTGAACTCATCCAACATGGGTACCACAGTTTTTCCATCTGCCACGTTTGTCAATTTTTCAATCAGTACATTTGCACTTTGGTTGAAAGTTGAGATCAAAGTCTTGAGGTACCTAGACATAAATAGGAGCTCGGTTAGATTTTTTAAAAAAAGTCTTAAGCTCGATATACTTTCGATGCCAGTGACTTGCGCCAACTAAATATCACCTCAACGGTAGTCAATTCAACTTATGGCGCATTTCTCATGGGCATGACTTCTCCGATCATAGAACCTCTTCACTGGATCACCATCGGGCCACTGGGCGTGCAGATCAGAGAAGGCGTGCGCCGTGCGAGTTCGGGCGGCCTGTTCTTGACAAGGGTTTCTGGTTCTCGCACTCGAACGGCGGGAACACGACTCAAGAACACTGTTCTCGGAAGAGGTTCACACACCACCACCTCGTCAAGGTTTTACAGGAACACACGGAAAAACTCGTGAGATTTTGACATTTTTCAACAGCTGCCATAGACCATGGGAAGTTTTGCAAAATTAACATGAATTATTTTCCATAACACAGAAATTAATATTTCTGTTTAAACAGAAAATAATTCAGCCCGGTTATCCAAACATTAACTCTCGAAAGACGTACATTGCCGCCGCCATGTTGCATGTTGCTTGCCACTAACTACCAGCCATAACCGGTTGTTTGTTCCCGGCGTTCGAGCGGCTAACCCACGAACAACAAATCGAGCTGTTCGTGAACACATGAAAACAAACCGCCCGAACTCAGCCTCTGACTAAGTGACAACACAATTCCGTTGGTACAATTTGCTAAAAATATTTCCCAAGGCAGTTTCTATCATGGGGCACCATAGGTAATTTGGTGCCCCACTTTTTTCTGACGTTTTTCCCCGATTTTTAAAGCAGCTAGCTGCTTTCGATAATAAAACATTGCCTCATGAAATCGAAAGAGTTACTCTTGAAAAGAAGCAAAAATTGAATGGCACAAACGGGCTTTCGTAGGCGAATGGATGAAATCAAGCATGTTGGATTGTTTAGCATGTGGATATTACATCGACTGCAGTCTCTTAACTACAAGAGCCAGATGAAGGTTTTCCATCGAATCCACAGCGTTTCATTACTAACAAAGGCACAAAACCCAGGGTAAATTTACAGGAGGCTGTCAAAAGTATTGCACTTTCCTGGGGGGGGGGGAATAACTGTCCATATATTGTTTCGCAGATTGGCCTCCCTCGTGTGTTTGACACGATCTCAAGAAAGTGTTTTTGGCCCATCGATTTTGTGTGGAACAAAAATATTTACACGCTCAACGCTTTAACCGTTGTAAACAAAAACCGTTTTTTAATTTTAACTCAAAGCAATAAACTCAGCAGTTAACATGTCAATAAACTGATAACTGCAATAAATTCAGAACCCCTCTCTCAACCATAAAAAATGCTACAAAAAGCGAGAGGCTTAAGTTCACCTTTCACTGTACACAGCTTTTTCAGCGCAACATACTTGCACAGTGATGGAGAATGAGAAAGGTCTGAGAATGGAGGAAGGACCATGGTCCGAGTGACCTAAAATTTTCAAATTTATAATTTTTACAATTTCAAAGTTTCCCCACCAGACGGATAAGAACAAGTCACGTACTTTCTGTGGAAAGCTGGATCGAACAACGCCCGACGTTTCATGTGTTTTGGCACATTAGACTCGGTAAGGAGTCCGTGATGAAGATATCGCTGACCAAACACACTCCAGAAAAACTGTACTTCGGCAGGTGGTTTGAAGTGCGTCGTGGAATGAAGGATTTTCTGCCATGGAGTTTTGAAAATGTGAACGAGGATCTCAGTAATTTCATTGTCAAATCAATAACGATATTGGTTGTGCTTACATACATGTTTCACTGAATAACAAGTTTCAATGTTTCCACTTTGAGACTACATTTTGGTATTTTAAAGATAGTTAAGCCAAGTCCTATAGGTACATTCTACTGAAAGTAAAAATGGTGCTGTGTTCTTTTTTCCTTTTATCTATTATGTTGAGTATTAAAATATCTGAAATCATCCTAAAAGAACCATCAAATACATGAGTATACCATCGCCTGACCCACTGCTCGTATTATAATCCCATAGGTCACTAAGCATCATTTTCATAAACTGATAAGCAAATAAAAACAAACTTGTCAGCCAGCTATGCGTGTCCAGGCAATTCTTTTATCGTACTGTTGCTAAACCAGTATAAGTGGATCTATATAAGGATTAGTTATCATATGCTGGATAGCAACAGGGTACTCTCAAGTCTTTGGACTTCGAAATATGTGCACGGAGTGTTCCGTCTATGATTGAACACACTGGCTGTGAAGACAAAGAATCGAGCGGTTGGGAAAGGCAAAAAACACGAACGCTGAGCATAGTGGCTTTAACCATTGATTTACCTTAACACAGCTTGGTTCAAGACAGATAACAGAGGGCTTAGAGAACATGAAGAGTGCAAACACGGGGCCGAAGATTTTCATTCTGCAATAAACATGAACGTAAAAAATAAGAGCCATCCGCTTTCTTTTCAAAAGAAGTACAGGGATTTTGTTTCCCTACAAGCTTGTATAGTAAATACTCACCATGGTGTTTTGAGGAGTTTCTTGTTCATCTTTAAATCGGTTTGTTCATTAATTTCAGAATTCCTGAGTACTTGTGTGACAGAGCAAAATAATTAGTTTAATCAGTTGGCCCATTGTTCACTGTTCATTGACATATCATCCTGTGCTTTTTGATACTGTTTCATTTGTTGATAAACTGCTTAGTTCACGCATGCTAAATAATATGTGTATTAATAAAGTAGTTAATAGTTGGTGGTCTGTGAAGGATTATTTGTCAAATCTCGTTTGTTCTTTCAGTTGTTGGTTTACATTTTCCAAGCGGCAGAATACATTCTTTCGAGAGACCCCCAGATATCAGAGATCTATACAGTCACGGCTGCCTTTGTTCCAAGATGTTGTGTGTACATATTGTTTTTAAAACTTTTCCCCTCCTTTTTTACCCCAATAGAAAATTATTATTCTGTCCTTTATCCCTCCGCGGACGTTAATCTCAATCAATTACCAGTAATCCATGAATTCAATGCTGTCTTGCATCGTGCTCGCTAGTGAGTATGTATGACACTTTGTTTCGTGGTGAGAAAAAACTTAAAGCGATTGTTAAAGAATTTTCGGACTTTCCAACGACCAAAATGTATTCAATACCACTCAAAAAGGAAGAACATAAAGACAGCGATAAATATGACGTTCTGGTATAAGATTCTGCCTGAATGCAATCCACGTACATCTATACATGTACATCTATATATGGAGTGTCAAAAGTGGACAACCTCATTTTCTCATTTTCTGCTAGTAGATTTTCGGGATTTTGGACTTTGCCTAAAGCATTTTCAAAAAACGCAATTTCCCGCCAGGAGAAATTTGGATTTTACTTTAACAAGTCCTCGTGGCGCGTCAAAAGTGGACAACTAAAAACTTCCAATTCCCACTTGCAAAAAGACTGTCATGCTCCGAAATTGGACAACCACATTTTCTCATTTTTTGCAAGTAGGTTTTCGGGTTTTGGAAATTTGCGTATAGCAATTTCAGAAACTTACTTTTCTGCTGGCAAAAATTGGGAATTTACTTAAAGAAGTATTCGTAGCGTGTCAAAAGTGGACGACTAAAAACTTCAAATTTTCACTAGCAAATTTTATTTGATGCTTCCAAAGAGGAAAACCCCATTTTTTTTATTTTATGCAAGTAGATGTCCTCTTCGGGAGCATCAAATAAAATTTGCTAGCGGAAATATGAAGTTTTTAGTTGTCCACTTTTGACGTGGTACGAAGACTTCTGTAAGTAAATTCCCAATTTTTGCTAGCACAAAGTTGAGTTTTTTAATATGCTTTACGTAAATTCCCCGAACCCAAAACTCTACTAGCAAAAAATGAGAAAATGGGGTTGTCCACTTTTGGAGCATGACAGTGCGCTTGCCAGTAGGAATCGGACGTTTTTAGTTGTCCACTTTTGACGCGCCACGAAGAATTGTTAAAGTAAAATATAAATTTCTCCTGGCGGAAAATTGTGTTTTTGAAAATACTTTAGGCAAAGTCCAAAATCCGGAAAATCTACTGACAGAAAACGAGCGAATGAGGTTGTCCATTTTTGACGCTACATACATCTGTATCGAGAGAATCGCACCCTGTAAAGTGTCATATGGTGTCATCCGAAGCATTACCGGTATACCGCTGGTCATACCGCTGTCCAGAGATGAAGAAAAATGCGAATCACAATTAACTGTCTGTACTCACTGTTCCACCACAAACCCCGAAAAGGACGATCCTGCATTGATTTTCTCAAGGATCAGTCTAGCGTGTCCAGTGAAGAAACTACATTCATACAGAGAAAAGAAACAAGTGCAAGTCAAACCAAAGATGTTCATGTCTATTTTCAGCAATTGGTGAAGGGGTAGAGAATTTTTTTTCAGAAAAATTTCAAGAAATGCCAACTTTAAAATTGATGGATATACTGAGGAATTACATAGTCTTTGATCCATCTTGAAAAAGATGGATCTTTCAAGATTGCGCTGCCTTGGTATTGTGGACTCCCTAGCTTACAACGGATGGGTTTGCAACTGACAAGGAAAACTTCCCTGATGAAATATGTAAGAACAGCAAGAGGCGATTTTGCTACACGAACTCACATTGTCAATCTCATCATGCGCTAAACCAAATCAGACATGATCTATGGAAGAATACTGAAACTTAGTCGGAATCATGGCTTACTCTTTTCTTGGTGGACTAGGCAAATGAGCAAATCTCCTGTGCTGGTAGGCGACATACAGGGCAAAAGCCAAGATAGCACCGATTATTAACGTCGGTACCATTACAGCCATCGAAACAAGGCAATCCAGGAGCAGTCCCGTTGCGACAGTCGCCATTATGCTCTGGTTACTGATCCGACCTGATCTGAAAATATCAAACGCGGTTTGCCAAAAGTACGCAGATGGACAAAAAGCAAACACAGTGACCTTCGTCTTCCTCGATAGTGCAACTGTTGAATTATACCCACAGCACGCGAGACGCGCGTTTGGAGGGTTGCTCGCGGCCCACTTAACTTTGCGGGTACAGGCAACATTTACCTTTGATAAGCCGTGCGGCAGTCTGTTAGTCTTGTTCAAAGCTAACAGATGCATAACTGGACCGCACGAAACACAACTACACAGGCCAGCAACAACGTCTTGGGAAGTTGGTCAAATCGTCCCCCGAAATTGAGGAGGAAACTCCCTGCGCATGTATTACTTACGAATGCGAGTCTTCTCAATTCTATTGACTCACACATACATGTTGAATAGCCACAATGAAGTTGCACAATAGTCTGGTACGATATTCAAGTTGCGCGGCACTAATTGAAAGTTGTGTTCGATTGCGAGTATTAACTGCTGGCCTCCGCGGCCGGTCGACGGCGGTCTGACACGAACGGACAGTCACATTATCATGGCGGTTAAGTTTCCGGACCGAGAGCGTCTCCCTGACAGCATGGAACACGATGATGTATGATTTGTAAAAAGGGGTTAATTGTACAATAAACTCGGTCAGGTTAGGCCCCTTTGCCTGCCATTATCTCAGAAATCTTCCGTCCTTATAGTGGGGCGGTCAGTCTGGGACGTGCACTTTGACCTCGAAATATAGGGCAGTTTCAACTTTGGAAATGGTCGCATATTATGTATAGAAATCATAAAAAATCTGAATAGGAATTATGTGAAAATAGATATGAAATAATATTCATCTATATCTATCTATATGAAAATAGATATAAATATGAAATGGTTTAGGGTCAGAAATGGTAGACATTGACCTTTCCTATAAAATTATGGCGCATCAGGATGAAATAGGATGATAAATATAAACGATGAGTCACAGGTGGTGTGATGTCATGGAAAAATACTGACTGACTTTCAGGGAGGTCCTGAAGTAATCAAGGGGCAGTAAGCGATAAATCCTAGACATACAATGGACTGCACTTGCCGCCAGGTAATGATAAGGATGATCTCTACACAGTCGTCTAGATCTCTAGACATACAATCCATGATGGATTGTACGTAGTGGGTGGGCTGTGTCAGCGGACTGTTATGTACGTCGGAAATGAGCGTCGGTCTGACTTAATCCTTGGACACTAAACGAGAGCGGGCGCGCATATGCTAACGGTTTTGCGCTCTGCTCACTATGGCTACCGAGATGTGGTCGATACAGGAAAGCTTACCCTGGCTGATTTTCTTAATCCTTTGAACTAGTGCTTTCCGTTCCGTTACCGGTGAAATGTATATGGTGTTGGCTTTGGCTGAATTTTTAATCTTTTGACTCTGGTGTTTACATCGGTTATCCTGTACATGTATATGGTTTTACATATCAAATCAGAGCGGAGCGTTACTGTTGATCTTTATTGTGTAGCCTAAATGTGAAATACATCATTATATAAAAATTATATAATTTCGGGGGGGCATGACGTCATTTGGGGATTTTTAACACGTAGCAAAGGGGTAACATTTATCTGTCGTTCTGTGGAATATTGTGCAGAAGTTCCCGGTCAGTATCCGACCCGAGAATTATTATTCGATAATCATACCGGTTAGTAAGAACACAAAAAAATTCAGTGGACTTCACGTAATGGTTTCACTGCTATTTTTATTTGTCTTTTTTCATCACTGATGTTTTAAAATTATACTAGTTTTAAGAATTACTACAAAGCTGATTACTGGAAGTTTTTTTTTAAATTTAAAACAGTGCCATCACATGTACTTATTTCCTTTTGGAGCTATCTGTCTCTAATGATTGCTATCTTTTAGTTATTTTCATCTTCGTCAATTAGCTGAAACAGTCCCTAAATTTTATCAGCATGTTTAGGCAAAACTCTATTCAAGGCTTTGCTGACTTTCACGCCTTTATCAAGTTTTCCCTCGAGATCACCCATAATGTCTCGGTGAGTTTCATTATCCTTCAAATGAAGATTACTTGACAAAAACCCTTATAGTTGTCGCAAAAGTCTTGCTTGACTGGGTAGAGGGTCTTTCTGTTTGCCTTTGCCTGGCTTGATCTTCATTCATGTCTTTGTTGACGTTCTTGTCATATTTTACACCCCACATCTCCCTATTTGTTTTTCTGGCTTCAGTCAGCCAATCTTAGAAGGTGGCATTGTCTTCCACTTCTAAACTGCCTTCATCCAGGGTTTTGCCATCAACGTCCTCAACAAGTTCCGAATCATCGCCAATCTCAATCATGTCTGATTCCTCAGCGTGGAAATTTTCTATGTGCCTCTCTAAATTAGACTTTCGTCTAAAGCATTTGTCACACTGGTGACAAGCATACGGCTTGACTGCAGAAATATCATTCATGTTGACCCCCGGGAAGGATGACCTTTAAATGACAGGAAACAAATTAAATCGTTCAATATATAATGTACATACAAAGACGCGTATGTGTATTTCACTGCTTGTGTTTTGCTTATTCCACAGTTTATTTTACTCATTTCATTGCTCTTACTCATTTCATTGCTTTTTACTAACTTCTTTGCTCTTTTACTCATTTCATTGCTCTTTTACTCATTGCTTTGCTCTTTTACTCATTTGCATTGCTCTTTTAATACACAATTTCTACAAAGCAATCAGATTTTTTCGGTTTCCAAATCAGCTCAAGTGTAGATCGTGAATGAGCTCAACAATTGTGTAAGTTCAAAGGAACATACCATTGGTGTCCGCTCTTAAGACTTTTACGTCTGTTTTTAGTGAAATCGGTTTCTGAATATGATCACAGATTCACTTTTCAAGAATATTTCTATAAAATATAAAGTTATCATTATCTTTGGCTGGAATTTTCAAATAAATATCTTTATATACATACAGATTCCATTTCTTGAAGAGGAAGTACTGATTAATCAGCATAAAGCACAAGTGTGTTTGATGATGTTAACATTAAGTTCTTATTTAAAACCACTGATCGGGTTTTTAAAAAATTACTCTAAAAACAAAACATGTCAGCACAAACTGGGGCATAGAGTTTAGATACATGGGAATCAGAAGTTAAACTCTTATTTATGTATGAATGAAATAGAGAGTTATAATTATAATGAACTTTGTTGCAGTGACAACTCAGACAACTGAAAACACAATCTTTTTAACCCCATTTTATCTAAAGATATTCATTTTTATTTTTAAATCTTTAGCCATTTTAGCCTGTAAATATTTGAATTTTGTAAATATGCATGTTATTCACCATGAAGTTCGGTCATCCACCACCAAACCGTCCAAATGAATTTATGGCAGAAAATGTTTAATAAAATCGTCAATTTTTCACTTACAATATTTATCTCATGGGCAACAAAATTGGCTTTGTAAAGAATTATCTTTTCTCTTTTTCCTTTTAAAAGTTTCAGTCAAAAGTACTATGGCTTGCGTTTTTTTCTCCTTAATTGTAACCTGTAATGTGTGAAAGCGAAATTATCAATTATAATAAAGTTTTGAGTGATGGGTGGAGTCAGTTCCAAGTGATAGAAGCCTATTCCCCACTGTGGTGAGAATTTTATTTTCTTTGATGACTTAAACAAGATAGAGTCTCCCAAACTATATAGGTTTACATTTTGGTGTTACATGGAATTATCAACTTGAATAGAATTGTGTCACTCCAATTTGTTTTGCGTATGTTTTAACAAAGTATTCCCCTAAAAAATCATGGTAATTTTGAAAATTAAAGGAAAGTCAAGCAACAACTGAACTAAGGACAACCAGATTCACTCTCCGGTATTTGTAATTTTTTAAATATAATTTATTATATGTGATAGATGTCATGCATATCGTACACATAATTGTGAGTATGCTGGTGTGTAGCAACAGCGCTACCATGCGGTAGCAGGGGCATTCCTCATATTTGCCGTCGCCTCCGCTGTTGGCCTGTCTACTGCTGAAATTTAAATAGAAATAACACTAGCAGAGATCCGAGCCCAGGGTGTTCTGGTGTGCCTGTTCATGCGCACCCCCCACCAGATAGCGCCCCTCCCACATATGTCATTCATTCACATAATTTTAACAGTGCTTTGGACTGAAGACCAGAAATGTAAACAATTTATTGACGAAAACGTGATTGTAATGACTTGTAAATAATCGACTGAATGAGCACAATTCAATTAATATCACTTGGTCCGGGGAGCCTGTAGCAAGTTTCAAAAAAGTTTGTTTGGACAAATCTGCATGAAATTGAAAAGAATAAAAGTAAAACAAAAATAAAACCTGTCACATGATTATTGGCTCATCTGAAAGACAAACTGATAAATAAAATAATTTAATGTATGGCCTCTTTTTTGAGTACTTGACTGCATTTGGTGGTTTTCCATG